AAAAAAAAAAAAAATACTAACAAAATTCAAGATTTTTTTGTTAGTGAAAATTCGTGATTTGTCAAATGCAAAAATCCTATATTGATTAATGAACTAGCTTTCTACTTTTTTTTGCTACCGATAAATAAAGATAGATTTAGGTTTTTTTTTTTCTCAGATAAATAGTTTTAGTTGAATGCCTTATATGGTACGTATGAAGCTCACTCTATATATTTATTCTCACTCAATAAAAATTGTTCTATTTGTATAAAAATTGTTCTATTTGTGAAAAAAAGCATATATAATATTCCACACATTTGTTCTGAGTCGAAAAATATTGTGCTATATATGAAAAAGTCACTATACGACTAAGTAAATTTATGGTCAGATAAATTCACGGCAATTATTTTTAATTGTAAGAAATGGAAATAAATTATAAACTTGAATACTAAGGCTTCATTTGAAATAAAAAAAATTCAACCTTTTAATATCTTTAAATATATTTAATAGTTATTTTAATTAATATTTTTAAAATTATAAAAAAAATTAAAAAACTTAAATTATGCTCTGAGATGAAAATATATATATATATATATATATGTATATATCTTTTTCTACCTGCATTTCAAAAAGCTCAAAGACAAGCTACCAACACGAATTCATAAAAACTATTTTGTTGGCCTCCCTAAAGATTGAACCTGAGTTAACAAATCCACAAGATAGAGAGTATACTTTTTTATTAATTAAGTTATAACTCTTTAGGTAAATAAATCTAAATTTTTTTATAAAAAAATACCTTAATTCTTGCACTAGACTAATTACATTTTTTACTAAATAAGTCATTTTTATTTTTAATAAATAAAATCTAAGATAAAAATTAATTATTGTAACTTTTAAAACTTTAACCAATAAGAATTAAATTTAAAACCTATTAGGGTTATTAAAATGTTATAGTTATAATGCTACGTATATTATAAGTTTATAATATGATGTATATTATATAATTGACTATTTTCATTCAAGAATTTACTTGTGATATTATATGTATTTATTCATTTAATGTTAATTTATTTAATACTATGTTATACTCATTTAATACTATATTATACTCATTTAATGTCAAATTATGATTGTAAATTTATAATTTTATGTAATATTGTAATTATAGCATTGCTGTTATAGTTAACTCAAACATTATTGATGACTTAAAACTTAAATATTTTTAATTGGCTTGAATGCCAATTGAAAATTTCCCTTTTTTCTCATTTTTAATTCTTGTTTAGTAGTTTTATTTTATCAAAAATATTTTCAATTGTTATTTGTATATTATATTAAATTTTTCCCCAAATTTTTTTATTAAAAGTCTAAAACTAATTAAAGTAAAAAACTTAAACTAGAATAACTTATTAAAAGGAGTAACAAAGAAGAAATATATTTTTATTTCCTTGAAAAACTCTTTTTTTTTTCTTGAACATAAGGAAATTAGGGGATGGGGAATGTTTACAATGATTGTAGAACCATATATGGTCATAACCATGGAAAAGATGCACCCTAAACAAATGCTGCCAATGCTTATTTAAACCCATTTTGTAATATTTTAAACTTGGAATATGAATATGTGAAATATAATTTTTTTTAAAAAAAATTTTGAATTGCACATTATGAGACCTCTCAGCCATTATCATGTTTTTATGCATATCATTATCTCTTTTCTTACTTTCAATGGAAGAGATTTAAATGATGCACCTCATTGATTTCTTCTTTTCTCTTATTTCTTTTATAGAGAATCCACTTACATATGTGCGAGACATTTAAAAACATAATTTATGAATTATTGATTTCATAAACAATTGTATTCCATTTGTTAAGTTGGTAAATATACAATCACCTATTGTTTACAACTTTGATCTTGATGCCTTTAGGAAAAATGCCAGTAATTGAACAAGTTTTGAGGCTTTACATCTTCCAATTACTTTGCGGGCTACTGTGAAAAAATTAATTATTTTATAAATAAAAGTTTCTTTGCTAATACTTGTTCAGACAGAGTGGAACAACTAGGCTGGGCACATTTTAAATATTATCAAAATATCCAAAATTTTAACCCAAATTTTGGGATTTTAATTTGGATAAATTCAGATAATAATCAAAGCAACCAAAATTAATTTTGGTTCCAATATAATTATTGATATGTGTTCAAAATTACTAATATGAGTCATCATATTATCTGAAAATTTTTAATATAAATAGGTACATATTCTTATAACATTTACATCGTCTAGATAATTGAAGTCATCTGTTCATTAACTTCTATGGGGAAGAATCAATATATATGTTACGAAGGGTCAACATAGACAGCATTGCAGACGATTTTAAGAATCATAGAGGCAGATTTAATGGTATTAAGCAGGAGACGATAGTTGTCTATAATCGAATGGTGCACATAGTGGTAGTACTCAAATCCAATGGCTCAAGCAATGGTAGCCTCGTGTTCAGGCATCTCCAGGTCTTCTTCCTGGGATGGTAGATTTGGCTGAACAGTGATCCGATCCTTTTCTGCTGTCGAGACCGTTGCGTTTCTGTTGAATCTACTCCACTTAGAAGAGTCATTACGTGTAATTCCTCATTCAGAACAACAAAACCAAATGAACTCCTGCAGGGAGCCTTTCTTGGTACACTGGACTCCTTTCGCCAACGGTTTGTAGCCATGTCATATCTATAACACAATACGAACATGTACATGTATATTAGCAAACATATAACATCATATAATTAACCAGAAGAACAAAATATGTAAAATAATATCATATTCCCCTAACAGGAAAAAAAAAAAAATTGCAAAACAAGCCAAGAAATGAAGTCTCAACCTTCAGACAGGCAGAAAAATGTGTTGTGCATGTCCATGTTTCTTGATGCTTTGCATATTAATGCAGTTTCACAGGAGCATAATACAAGGAAGCAAATTTAAAGGAGCAGGATGAATCATACTTATAATAGATGCCTGAGCCATCAGAAAATGGCAAATAATTAAACAGATAATTAGCACAGAGTTAAACAACTATGCCTATGTGTGAGAAAAACCCATTACTCTTTAGTTCCCACTTTCCTCCTGCAAGCAAGCCTAGTTTAAAGAGTTAGAAGCATGCAAATAATCTCTATGAAAGGTCAAAATACGAAGGGCCATTGTAATGACTATTAGTCATGGTACTCCAGTTGACCATCCAATTTAGTTCCAAAAGAAAATAAATTTTCAATTTGTCCTTCATAAGATAAGAAAGTAATACCACCATTGCTGAGATAGGCAATTCACCATAAACTTGAACTGAATATTGTACAAAAATCATGCCACATTATTTTGTATCCGACTGACAATGACACTTTTATCCCTCAACGGGCTTTCCTTCACTCTCTCTCCCTAAACAACTTTTCTACCCCAATCCTTACTTGGAACACTTCACTTCTTATTCTTATGAAAGATCACTCTCTTCAACTCCTAAAACCTATCAATTAATCAACCACTAGAAAGAAAATAGATGAAGAAAATTCTGTATTGGCTAAACTTTTATGTTTCAACTACCGCAACACTAGCATTGTATACAAGGCTAGTCCTGTTCCATTTAAAGCATTGTGAATGCCTTCTCTTCACTTTTGCTCTCGGCTTTGATATTTATAACAATACAACTATAGTATAATTTTACAAATGGAGAAAAAAGGAAAAAGAAAAAGGAAACACAGTCAAGGACCAAACAGCCACACAGAGGTTGGTAAGTTACAAATTCAAGAAATAATTATATGAAGTGGAATCAGAACACAGATGTTAGATCCAAAATCTCAATAATCTTTAGGACTATGCAGAGAAAACTGATTGCAAAGTCATATGAAACTGGAAAGTCCATGAAGAGATTTCTCGATGAATATAAACAGAAAACTTCTGCGTGTCTGGACAGACAGAGAGAATCAATTAAAATTTGTTCATATCAGCAACAAAATCATGAAAAAGGGAAACAGTGAACATTTTTTCCAACTGATGTAGGTGAAAATCCACCATATTTTTTATCTTAAGGACCTAAATTCAATATGCTGATCGAGTACAAAGAGTCAAGGGCTAAGAAAGGCATTTAGCTAACCCACAAATCAACCCCAAATTAAAAAGAGTGGACATTTCCCTCTGAGGAGTTTCATTTGGTTTTCAGGATAGTACTTTTGTTTCCAAACATCAGACAAAATTGCAATGTTGCCTCTTGTTTCCAATTCAAAATCATTTTTAATTGTACCTAATGATGTTGAATAAAAGCTTAAAGAGGACAAAATAAAATTTGTTTAGTATAGGAACAATCTTGGAAAACATTTTTCCGTATATCAATTAGGACAGACTAAATTGAACTAGATTCTCCTAAGATTTGAAACCGAAACTCAAACTATCAAGGTTATATGAACCTCATTCATTAATTTACTTAGTCTTCTGCAGTAAACTTCCCGAGGAAAGGTATCTACATGATAGGTGACAGGTCCAGATACTGAGAACCATCTTCATATATGCATAAATTACACCATAGATAATTTATATACACACATATTTTAGTTTTAGGATCAATTTTATACCTTTTAGTTTCTACGTTCATTTTGCTAAGAAAAATAACAACATATTCCAATCACTTATTTCGCAACAGTAAAAAATGTAACCAACACTTACTTGAGAAGCAAAGAATAATCAGTATACAAAACTTCATAAAACATTAACATAAATCCCATGTTAAGTGCATGTCACTTATCACTTGTTAAACACTCACCAAAGAGGGCAACACAAATATCAAACTAACTGCAAAGAATCCTTGCTCTAAATATATTTCAATGAAACTTGAAATCTGAAAGTACCTGAGAATATCTTTGTCATCAAGCATGAAAACAGAGGGCCTGCCACCTTCCTCATCCTCCATAACCACAATCTTCCCAAGTCTAGGCCTTTCCCCTTCTTCCCACATATCCCCTATCTCCCTCCAATTTCCCCTACCATCCTCCTTTAGGTCCATCACAACCGCATCCCTGCAATACTCATCCATAGGGAACACCCCAGATACCGTCCTTGACTCTCCATAGCCTCCCATGACCCAAAACTCCTCCTCCGTAACCCCCTTTGCAGTGAACCCGACACAGCCTGCTCTGAACCTCGGCAATTCATTCATGGCCACCCACTCATTCCTCTCCACATCGTACTTTTCAACGGAACATATCCTACTTCCTGCAGCTCTAAACATGGTGTGCCGCGACCCACCTCCAGCTACGACGATCTTATCAGTACCAGGGAGTGCCGCGCAAGCGAAGCTGCCGCGTGGGGACAGCATAGGTGCAAGACGATCCCACTGGCAGGTGAGGAAATTGTACCTGAAAGCAGAGGACGTAGGGGAGGGACGATCCAGTGGGAAAGAACGAGTGTCGAAGAGGGAACCACCAAGGACATAGAGGTGAGGACCAACCGATAAGGAAGTGAAGTTGCAGAGGCCATACTCATAAGGATTACAGGGCATCGGCGGAAGGGAACGCCAGGCCAAGTTTTCCGGGTCAAACAGAAACGGAGAGCAGATGTGCGGGTCCGCCGGGAAGATGCATAGGAGGTGAGAGAGGCGGCGTTGGACACGGCGGAGGGATAACAGGGTTTTAGAGGACAGAAATAGATTCCACGATTTACAGGTGGGTTTGAGGCGGCAGTGATGGGAGTAAGGCAGTAGGGAGAGGATATGGACACCGATATCGTCAGGGAGACCCGGGATTAGCGTTAGGGTTTCGTCAATTTCTGCCAATAACAGCGACGATGACTGCTGCAAAGGCATTTTGTCTTCTCTCTCGTCCACAGAAATCCCCGGCTACCAATCCTGTCTCGATGCCGGAAATCTGTTCAATTACTGCAGCACGGCGGGTATACACCGAAGCTGCTTGGGGAAATGATCGCCTGTAGTCTGAATCAATGCTGTCTCTCCATTTCTAAACAGAAAATTTGAGATGAATATGGTGTCACTGTCACCGATTTCTCTGTTCTTACTGTTTCAGTCTTTTATCGTGTTATGAAAATGGATAATCTTTTGGTTAAATACCCAATTTGGTCCCTAAACTTTCATTTCTGAACTTATTTCGTCCTTTAACTTCAAAAGGGACCCAAATCGTCCTTAAAGTTTATTTTCCCGTAACTAAATTGGCCCTTCCGTGACGGAAGTGCCCACCTGGCACGTTAAGTCTCCACAATTTAGTTTTTTTAATTTTTAAATGCTTAGTTACAACCCACAAAGTCAAAATCAAGAATCCATTTCCATTTTCAATACTCCAAATCCATTTTCCTCTCTCCATTTACCCACCTCGCTCCGCACCCTGCTTTCTTCTTCCAGATTCCATCTCATTTCGTACTACGCTTCATTGGTCTCAAGGCCGACAGCGTTGAAAACCCTTGCAAGCATGGCGGTTTTCGAAGGGCTTCTGTTGTCGACACGAAATCAAGGGGTTTGGGTGCAGAACGAAGGCGACGGTCGCAGACACAAGGATGGTGATAGAGAAAAGTGAAGGGAAGATGGTGAGCGTCTTTGATTCGGAGGAGGATCTGGCGGTGGCCCTCATGAAACACACCTCCGACCTATCTGACAAGGTGACAAGGTCTCCAAAACAAGGAGCTCGTTTACTGTCAATCTTTGGTTGTCTCGCCACCGTTGTCGCCACAATAAAGACTCGGACGTTGTCGCCACAATAAAGACTCAGAGACATGGGTTTTCAAACACAGTTAATGATGATCAACCTAATCCTTCCTTTTCTTCTTTGGAAATCGCAGCAAACAAGTCAAGCTTTTCCCATTTGTACGAGGAAACGTTAGGGATTCTTGATTTTGATTTTGTGGGTTGTTCTTATTGTTTTCTGGCGATGAGATTTTTGCTAGCTAGACTTATTAAGAATCCCAAATTTTGATCTGAGTTTTTCATCGGAGAAGAGGAGGATGAAACCCAATTAAAAGAATTTAATTTTTTCCCAAATTATTGAATGAATCAATTAATTTAATATATTTTACGAGGTTATCATAATCGAATTAATTATGAGTTAATTGATTCCTTAATTATCTGTATTAAATACAACAATCAATTAATTTAAATTTTTTAAATTTATTAAGAATGAATCAATTAAGAAATTTTTTTTTCTTATCTATTTTTTATCAATATTATATTTAATAATTTTTACCATGTCATCAATTAATTATTGTGTTTTTTCCATGTAAGCATTTGAAAATTAAAAGCATTAAATTGTAGAGACTTAACATGCCAAGTGGGCACTTCCGTTACGGAAGGACCAATTTAGTTATGGAAAAATAAACTTTAAGGATGATTTGGGTCCTTTAACTTCATAAAGTACGAACTAAGTTTAGAAATGAAAGTTTAGGGATCAAATTGGGTATTTAACCTAATCTTTTTGATGTTGCTGTCCAATTTTGGATTAATTGACAACTATGAAAAAGTTAGATGGTTTAATTGACCAAATTAAAAACATTAAGGGGCTTAAATTAGAAGCAACGTGTCAATAAGGGAAAGTGGAACTGCGAAAGTTTTCCTGGATACGTAAAGTGGTAAATGCCAAACAAAATGGAAGTTACCTTTTCATATATATATATATATACGAAAAAGTGCGGATCAGTCCTACCTCCCAAAAAAAATTGGAGTCCCAACCAAAAATGACGTCGTTTCTTGATCCCAGCCCCAGTTCTTCTCCGCCCCTTCTGCAATCATCTCCATCTCCTTTAAGCCGCTTCTGCAATCATCTTCATCATC